ATATATGCGTATATGTTGCAAACCACATGGAGAGTCTTTTCGTTGTTTGTAGCATTATCGTTTGTTTCCGCCACAAAACATTCTAATTGAGGTTATTGATTCAGTCCTAAATTGACACCGTTTATTTTTATTAACCGGAAGTAGAGGCTTCCCTGCCACTGAAGTGGCGACTTCTTAGAGTGTCATTAGAAATGGAGTGGTCACCTGGTTCGTTATCCATCCAATGCTAAGGCAATGACTTTTCAAATGAACGTTTCAAAACGGTGAATACCGCGTTGTACACATACTGTTATTGCCCCGTCATTCCGGTGCATCAATAGATCATAATGACCTTGGAATTTTCCAACTGGGAGGCTGCCCATCGTCTGAAACGAACAATAAACATACGCCTATCAGTTCGATATCAAGATAGCGTCTTGTTCCTTACAACCAAGACACGGCACACCAAGCGACCGTAGTTTCACATTTAATTGCTTAGGTGCTAGTGTTGAAAGATCCTGTTGAACAATGAATATCAGTTCGGAAACAGTCCCACAATCAGCAGTGTCATTAGTCATTGATGTACAACGAATCCCTAGTATTATCACCTAGGTTTGCTCGCTCAGGTCCAAGGCTCATTTACTAACCAGTCAGTCCCGAGTGAGTGAGTAGCAGTGTGATTGTCTTTCTCGTAGACAGCAAACAACGTCACTCACCGTTCAATCACGGAAAAACACAACACTAGGCCACGCATTGACTAGATCCTCGAGTGTCGGGTTTTCAGATGGAAGTTTCGGTCATCGTGCAAAACTATTCTTCCTCTGAGCTACTTGTAAATGACTCATAGAGTTTCGACTTCCTTTTGCACCGGCGTATGAACCATTAGGTACCAAAAGCCACTGCTTCCTTATCCGGAAAGTGACACTGGCTTGGTTTGGATAACCAGATGTTTGGACTAGCAACCTTGCTGAACTTTGTCTGTGGAACCTGAGGTTCCCAATCAAGAATTTTCACCCGTGACCGTCAACTTTCACGGGTAACAAAATACAACCGTCATCTCGATGTATAAACTTATTTTCATAGCAGTTTGACTCTTCACAGGTGACCATATTGAATCCCCCCGTGGGGATTTATGACTCACCATTTCACCGTATTTCATCACGTGACTTAACGCCTTCCTTTTCACCGCCCCATATTGCTTCTCTAGTGTGCGCTTTTTTATGTTATGCTGCGCGCGGGTAAGAGATAATGACAAAGGGGATATATGTAAAGGGGATCCAATGTGGGCAAAACCGTGAAACCACCACTACAGTTAAGACAACCGAGAACGAGGCATATTACTGGTAAACTAGTGAGCACTCCGCTGTTCCTGGACACCATACATGCGCATACACAACATCTAAACGATTTGATGCTCTGAGGATCTGATCACCATCATCATCATCATAATCATCACCATCATCATCATCCAAATCATCATCATCCTCATTATCATCATAATCATCATCATCACCATCCTCATCAGCCTCATCCTCAACATCATCACCACAAGCAACGTCATCACTGTGAACATCCGTGTACAAAATTAACGCTTCCCTGCGTGTATTCAAAATCCATTTGAAGCCCTATTCAAAAAAAGAATCGAAATGGATTGGTAATTCTGGACTACCACAATCATTCCGATGCGCCTACAGCCCCGGACAATTAGTAAGGCGATCTAACCCAAAAGTGATAACGAGGACTACAATAACATCGATTCAGGGACATGATTTGCAACTTCCTAAACCGTTTACGGTGGAAATCAGGCGGTCTCCGTAGAGAGCGATCTACACCGATAGCACCCACACGTTTGTTAATCTCATTCATATCCCTCTGCAAGATCAGAGGCGAATCTGATTGGGAGGATGGTGAGAAATTTTGGACATACAACAAATGGTTTGATCATTTTGGGGCCACCGGACAGCCGTGGTGGCTGAATTGCCGTAAATCAACTGGACTACCGCTGGCTGCTGAATATTACCGGACTACCCATCCACAACTGACAGGCTTATCTGCAACAGTTTTGCTAAAACCTACCTGTTCCGAATCTGCAATCCAAGCATCCGAGAAAACGTTCGCCAAACATACACGGATTGTTGGGTCAAAACAAAAAATAGCGTGGGATTTTTCATCTTCCTTGGCTGAGGTTGTCGCGTAGACTGCAAGTTTAGTGGTTCAGTCAACAGAAAAGATAGCATGGGTCAATATCAAAGATGTGTAAAATAGTGAGGTGAAGTACTGACGAACGTACCGTTTGCCTCAGAGATATAATGAAAATGACAAAGGTGTAGAACTAACACACTACTCAGAAGGTCGCTGACATTTCATTGACAGAGGAGAACGGTTTTCGTGCTCCTTCCGGCAAATCAGGTAGGCGCAAGCCTTGACATTCTCTAAAACGTAATCAAAACTAAACCCCAGACTGAGCGAAATTTGACAGATACTCTCATGAATGAGAAATTCCTTTGTGTATCTTTGGGTCAACCCGTTAAAATCAAATAAATGTGTGACTGTTCCATCTGTTTTTTAGGGTAACACCCAAACATAGACCACTGACGATAACGGTCAAAGCTTGTGATGCCACAATCATTAGAACCGTTGGTTGATGGGTTGAAGTGTACTTTTTATAAAAGACCCACGATCCATTTATAATTTACAATGAAGGCATTTACTTGACATTGGTGGTTGCTGCGAAGGTACACAAAATATCACAGGGGTTGTACCGGTTTCACGATGACATCATCCACTCATATGAAACTGGTTCAGCAGCGTAAGCGACAATGATCGGTGAAATCTATCAACGCTTCTTGCGTAGAGTGATGGTGTACTTCCATACAAAGATCGCGATGTGAGCAAGCATAAACCAAGCTTGGAATTGCGTTCTGTTTTTCTGGTTAACACCGCTTGTAAGCCATGCATATGATTGACATTATGCATGCTATTTCACAAGATCTATGCAAGAATCAGCCAGAATTTTACGCTACTTACTTCCCATATTTGAAGGAAGAACATCTTTAAACATAGAGCCAGAGTAGCAAGCCTCCATGTACAGCACCAATTTGTTGAACATTTTTTTTGAATGCATGTAGGCGAGGGTATCGTTCAGCTCCATGGCATACAGCTGTCGCAAGAGAAGAAAAATTCTCGTGAGCTCAAGATGAGTCACTCGATGGGTCAGTCACCAGTGATTTGGATCCCTTGGTTGAACAATGAGCGACGTTATGTCCTGACTTAGTGCGGATAAATCAGGCTGTGTTGGTCGTTCTTGACCGATCTGTTACTCGCTGCGTCGTCGAGCGCAACACTGATGATTCCTAATACGGGTGGAACAGTTGAACATTGCTTCTAGGCTTTTCATCACCGACTGGTTTTCTCATACTTAAAAACAAAAATTCATACTGTTTAGGATTCGTGCTGTCGCTCTAGAAGCGAAAAACAGTATGTTGTCCGGTCGGGAGGAATTCAACTGATGCTTGCTTCGTATCATCTGTGCCTCACGGGTGACCCTAAACGACCAGGTTCTTTGTTTATGGTATCTAAATTTGCTCAGCATTCTAAATGGATCGACTGCAAAATTATGTGTGTTGAGCAAGCTTAAACTTCAAAAAAGAAGTCTATGTGACGGTGTCTTTTAAAGCATCTTAACGAGACCTAACAAACTTGAATTCCTGTGGATGTCGCTCTTGAGATTGACGTACAAACATCGTAGGTTGTGTTCCATGTTCCAGCTGATGTGTAGAACAGTTTGAATATAAACTCTATTTATAAGGAATTGCCGATGTCAATGAGGCAACATACGCTTACGTAAGCCTTTTCAATCCGTTCCCTATTTAGCTTCCGATGAAAAATCTGCGTCCTAAAACCATGGATACGAAAGCTAACTAAACTTACATATTCTTCTAGGAAGCCAATGTGGGAAACCGCACCATGGCCAGAGAAGAAGATGAACACGTTGTCATCAGGACCGCTGTGAGCAGGCAGAAAGTTTGAGGTGGTCTTGAATAGTGGCTCATTGGGTTGCGCTCTAGCGCATAGGAAAGCGGAACCAAAAAACGCGGAAATGGAACGATGGCGAACACGTAGTTCGGAATATTGCGTTGTACTCGCTGCTGGATATAATCAGTAGCTACGTTAAAATCCATTTCTCTGCTATTTGAATGGCCGCATGAATACGGGAATGATAAGTCGATTGTTCAGGCGTCTGTTGGTTAATTCTTTTATCATGAGATGTAGTCGCCTCTATGGTTTCATCTTCACGGAGGTGGTTTGAGGCAGTTTTCCGGTTAAGCTAATTTTATCAGCTTTCCGTTGTAATGGTCACACTCAGCTAATTCAGAAACACGCGTTTGTCAGCATCATCACATCTGTTCAATAAAATATCTACATAATGCATACACTAATTAGTAAAAATATTATAACCGAGGTGAGGCGATCCTACATTTTGAACACGGATATCGAAGAGATATGTTCTATATAAAATTGATCTGGAAATGTTCCGTGTTTGATCGTTGATCATGATGGTGTTCATTTGTTCTCTGACGTAATGGTCAGCATACAGATGTTTCACCCAAACCGAAGTGACATCATGTGTGAATGGTTTCGTTAGGAGCTACCCCATACCTGCCTGATATTATGCGGTTGTGACTGGCTGAAGGGAGCGTGCACTTCTCGGGGTCCTAATGGTAAATTTGGAACTGTGCGGCCTTGTGGCTTGCATCCTCTGAATTCGGTTGCTGTTTAAGGTAGTTTCTGTCTGAAGACCTTTAGTTCATGGTCTGATTGATCGGCTACCAATTTCTGTTGTGTCGCAGAATGACTTTCCACATTCGTTTGGCTCTCAGCCCGACTTGTGTGTTCGGTAGTACATTTCGATCGTGTGTTTCTGAATTTCTGTTGGGTTGTAGTCCGAAATTTCCTAGTTTGCATTCATGATTGCTCTTCCAGTAAAAAACTGGTTTAATGTGCAGATGAGTTTATCACCTTTGATCACCTATTCTATAGACCATCTCGCTTTCCATCTCCATCCCAACTAATTTAAAGGCGGGATCAAAAATCTGAATTTGTTCAACTTAGTATTAGAAAAGGTATAATCACGTTTCTGTTCATTTGCTTATAAGATCTGTCAAAGAACGTGGTAAAAGGAGAAAAGCAAACAAGCTAGTGCAAAAATTGACGGGAAAATATTACGGGGACTTGGATTCCGATCATGCAAACAACACTGTTCATTTGGCTGCAAAAAACCTTGGGTTAAACATCTGCAGAATCCGAGCAAACCAAAACCGACCGACCATAAGTTGAACAGCACTAAGCAGATGTTAGACCGTTTAAATCTGCGCATATTTGATTATTTCCGAAACTTGTTCACAGTGGCGAATAATGTCTATGAGGTAATGATAACCAATAGTCTGAGATGAAATAGATAAGCCCTGTATCCACAGGGGTGAAGTAAATCATTTTTACTGACTTCTGGGAGGTTTACTTAAAGAGATTATACAACAAGTATCATACGAGAAAAAAAACACGCATTTCATAAATCCGATTACGATGAACTCCAAAACTGGAATTCCGACTGTGATCAGCCAGCGCACCCACAATATCCTCTTCCACACAAACTCACCTTTTCAGCACCTTTTTCTCGTTGGCTTCAAGTTTCTTATCCCCTTTCAGCACTTTCACGAAATTATCCCGTGTGACATCCTAAAACGGATAAAAATGTATGACCAGTTATTCCTGTGACAATGATGTTCTCCACACTCAGTCTATTCACAGCAACCATCGACTTGCAATCCAACAAATAATTGAAATCTACGGTCTGCCCACCAGCTTCGCTCATATTATTTTCACGATGGTCGCTATATGCTGAAAATTGAGAAGCTCGATTGTTGCTCTGTTTGCCAAGCATGCCATCTGGATTTGCTCTTCGAGCCTGGTGTTAGTAGTTGAGTTGAAAACGGACTACCAGGAACAGCTACCAAGTAGCCCTCATCTCTACCTCAGTCGGGGAGGAATGCAACGTACTTGAGAAATAGCCGCTATCTTGAAGTGAGTATCATTCATCAGCACTGAACTGAATCGCAGTTGGGGATCTCTTATCTATGATATCATTTGGCTGAATGTGCTGTCCCAGAATATCACACGATATTTCCTCGGAGAAAGCTATTCGAACACTGTTGGTCCTCGGGCACCTTTTATGGTTGTTTTGACAACAACGATAGCCAAATGCAGGTCTAGAGATTCCTGGGAGTCCTCTATGATCAGTGTTATGACTAATGTTCGTTCTAGTGGATTGAACATTCTGTAATGTGGTAAAACTGATTAATCTGCCCTGTATTGTGTTTTGATCCGCAGTGTCATTTATTTGCTTCTTGTGATACAAGGTGAACTGATGCAGGAATTCACTTGATTGCTGCGCACCGGAACACGGGCTTACTTTTCCACGGTAGTCAATAACCACACCGTTGTAGACGTCTTCGTGCTCGTAGTCATGGAACACTTTGCCTTTAAACGGATTTCTGGAATTAAAGAATAAAATGTAGCAGTGGGTCTCTTGAGAGAATTTAACATGTGAGCCGAATAGAAAAAAAATGTCAGGTTCATGATGCTGATGGAAGTTGACTCCCGGAATTGTTTTCGATTAAATTTTTACGACGATGAGTGCACCCTCTGTCAGATATTCGATTGAGTGTGACTAAGATTACTTTGAGCAGAAATAGTTTAGGTATCCTACAATTATCCCCTTAGAGTTCATGACAGAGAAAATTACCAATTTGAATCGAAAATGTATTTCTTTTAGGTAACTCTACATTCAAATATTATTTCATATTCGGCTGCATCACAAAATGTTTAGCCGATTAGATTGTCTGCTTACACTTTGCTTCAAATCATCACACAGGAGATGTACTGAAGCATCTAAATAAAAATGTGATTACGTTCAATTTACTGACAAATAAAACGAGGACATATTATCCTCATCATCCTCCGCCCTCTCATCATCATTCTGATGATGATGATGATGATGATCATCATCATCATCATCATCACCACCATCGTTATCCTGACAATCACCATCCCCATCATCATCACAATCATCATCCTGATCATCCTGATCATCACCACCATCATCCTGATTGTCATCATCAACATCATCGTGATCATCATCATCCTCAACCTCACTATAATCATCATCCTGCTTATCATCATCATCATCGTCATCATCATCATTATCATCATCATCATTCTCATTATCATAATCATCAACATCGTCAACATCATCAACCTGATCAGCGTCATCATGATCATCATCATTATCCTGACCTTCATCTTCATCATCTTCCTCATCCTGATCATCCACATCAGCGGCGGCTGCAGCACTAAAACGACATCTAGGTATCAATGTTATTCATTTCATATTACTCAAACGAGTACCCAAACGAGTATACATCATTATCACCATCGTCAACATCATGAACACCATCAACAAGTGTTGCTTCCATCAGGGTTCTATGGCATCTTCAGTCATGAAAACGCATTAACCAACGGAAAAACTGATATGACGGCAAACCAATGAGACATGTTATGAGCAAACAACGAAGCGCGTTTCTACACTGTATTTGTTACTATATAGCAAACATTGTGCGCGTTGATTACTTGGGATTGTTGGCAATATCATCGTAGGCGAAGGTAATTATATTCTCCGGTGGAACATTGTTTTTACGCACCAATTGATATGCGTGAAATACGTCCGCCTGAATGAGAACACAATGACACGGGAATTAAGCGTGAATTGAGGCAGAGTGGAGCATGGAGGCTAAAAAAGTTTAATCCATCCTGGTTGGAGCATCAATTCTTAAAACAGCATTGGGGTGCATTATCCCAAGAAAAGGAAGCATGATTCTACGCTGGAAGGGCTTGTGTGGATCAAAGTACCATGTCCAATCAAGCGATCTCCTCGCCGAAGCAGGACAATCTTGGTATCCCTTGGCTTCGCGAATACGTCCGAATCTGTCGTTCGCTTCTGTGCTAGATAAATAGTCACATTGTGGCGAAACTCAGTGGCAATCATCTATTACCCACTGAATCCTAAGAATGGATATACACGCACTGATTACGGGTGAAATTTCCATACGATTCTCGTGTAACCCCAAGCAAATGGTAGGCAATGGACGAACGAATTTGAACAAGATGGAGCTCTATATGTTTGTTCCAAATGCACGCTAGTTGGTCTCACTAAGTAGTATAAATTTATCCGCTCACATTGCCTAGCAATTCCGGTGCAATAGTCATGAAGGGTAATGTTTTTGGTACGTCAGTGGATTTGTTGGGATTTCTCACACCTGATTTATACAGCAGGCCACTCTAGGCTACGGTACTGCGGAGCTCGTGAGCGCTTCTGCAATACGATGAAGCTACAATGTCATTTCAGATGATTAGTGGTGATTTGAAAAATATCGAACTCTTGTTTGATACAACACCATAACTTCCACTCACAGGCCGTCATTTCATCTTACATAACGCGACCTAAAGCGCATATGGGTGACGATGTCGGATTCCGATTAACGTGAATCTCACTATGCACCTAAGTAACATCTGAGTTTGATAGGACCGCATAATCGACCTCACCCAAAACAAAATATCGTTTTAAGACACGGAACTACTGACGAAAACCAATACAGGCGGCGAAATGTTTGTCCATTAATTGTGACATCTATCCACCGCCTTTTAGATTAAAATATCACAGTCATGCAGAGAACTAGCTAGGCCACAACCGTTTGGGGGCACGTTGGTGCAAACTTGGAGGATTTAGTTGAACATTTGAGCCTCAAACCAAAAAAACCAACGGAAACCTACTTGATGTCGATAATTTTCCCAGGTGTTCGAACCAGCAGCCAGGACAACCCAGTTCTTTGACGGCTGGTTGTTAAATAGGGATGACCGTTTGTTTAAACTGACGGCGTCCACACGTGCAACGTTGTGGATACAGAACAGGAACACGAGAAGAAGCGAACAATGGCGCACCATATCTTGGCTTGATTTAAGCATAATGGGCCTGGCATTTTATACTGCGCGTCTCCTGTAAGTTGAACTTCGCCTTACAAATATATGACGATGGTGTGAAAAGCTATCTACCACAAATTTAATAGGTCTGCGGTACAAAGTTTATGCTAATCGAGGTATGATCGACAATTTTGACCAGCTTTCTCAACGACTGATCATTTGAGCAAACCTATTCCAACAAGATGTGGACATTGGTGATCTGTGGTATTTTCTATGAATTTGTTGAGCACTCATGCGCCTCAAGCAGTCAGGAAGAGCAACCCCAGTATACAACGTTGTTTTCACGTGACTGCTGGCTTACGGGGCACATTTAAAATCCTTTGGTCCAAGGGGACATTAATGCCGACTTTCGTATCAAACGTCACAGCGTTTCACAGTTGGAACACTCCATCGGGAAGTATGATCGACTCTTACAAACCATATAAGCTGAAATTAGTATTGGTAGTTTTTGTATTGATGAAAATACGCATTAGAATCCGGAAGGCTCACCTGGAAATGGAAGCGTGTTCGGTTTGTGGGCGTCTGGAAGTGAATTAAATCGGTGTGTTTACGAAAACAATTTGATGTTCACGGATTCTTGCAAAAGGTGGACGTGTGAATCACCACGCCGAATTCACTTATTCTTACGTCGCCCCAGACGGCATGCTTACAGCGGAATGGCAATTCCAGATCGAATACCGCGACAAATGTCCTGCGGGTATGCTTAAGAGATCTAGAGAATACAGACTCTTTATTTACAATATGACTGACCCAATTCACTCACACACATTCACATGGAATGAACGCTGCATAAATCCGGTGAAACGATAACCGTATTCCTGTACATGGGACACTTTGAGTAGAAATTTTTAAACAGATTCGATTGTTCATCAAGGGTTTTCTGGCGTTCCGCAAGTGTAATAAAGCTGGATGAGGTCAGCGAATTCTTTCAATATCTGAACACCTAGGACACTCACATTAAGTTTAGCCTGACCTCGAGGCCCTTTGGCTACATTAAATTACATTGACTAAATGGCACACAAGAATGGTGGAAGTGAAACACCAATGTTCACCGGAAATTAACAAAAATCGTTAGCTTGTGCGTAGCTGCCATGCCACCCGTAGGTTGCACGAGGGCTGGGATACTGCCACGTTGCCCGAGCCTCGACAGAGGAAGTCGAGAGGCGGAGGTCGGGCACAAACCACGGAGCTTTCAGTCAGTAAAATCGCGCTGTAACCAATTGGGCCATCTCGCTATCGTAAACTACTACTCAGCATATCTAGAAGCAGTGTATGCTAGTGTAGATTCAGTGATTTTAAGGAGAGTTAGAGCACAGTTCACAGGGGAGGTCGACCGAATAGCAGCCCCACTTGAGGTGGAAAATCTACTCAGAGATAAGAAATACACGATGCGTCTAAGAAAGCAGCAACCAAGACGGGTGTTGCTGGTAATGTCAAGGCCCAACAATCAGCACCCAATTTAGACGATGTTTGTCTTCACCTGAGAGTCCATCTGATAAATTGACTACGCTGTTACAGCCAGTAGATGACCTGCTCTCCTCTGTGTTGTTTCCAGAACAGCGAGTCGAAGATAGCAATTATCAAACTTATGTACTTGGTTGTCCTCGCACTGTGCACCTTGACCTAAATTTACCAAGGCCGCCTGATGTTTCAGTCTGCACGATTTTCGAGATATCGCAGTAAATTTTCATGAAGGAAAATACTCACAAGATTGCTGAACCGCGGCCATTCCATGCAAAACGGGGACATCTGAAGATAATAAAAGGCTACTGAATAAGGCTAGCATCAGTGTAGCATTCTGGAAGGGGAAGATTTTACGCTCGGTTGGTGCATTCGTAGGATCGGCTTCCGATTGATAGGACTAGGAACTGTGTATACAAAATAAAATGTAACGACTGTACGTAGATTTATATAGGTTTGTAGACAGTCAGGTAGTTGCACATCAGAATCGGTGGGCATAAGCTTTCCGTTAATGGACAATCGGGAAAGATTGATGAATACTAGGGGATAGTAAAAGATCCGGCAATGACAGAATATGTACCAGATACTGGGCTAAGAAAGATTCAGGAAATGTGGACATTCTGAGACGGGGTTTAGTATTCACATTACAGCGACTCGTGGTCGAGGCGGTGCAAATTGCAAAGGCGATCCCAGCGTGAAAGGAATGGCGTGGGTTGAACTTGCAAACGTTTGGATTGCTGTCTTAAATCAGCCTAGATGACATAACGCTGTGTGCAGTTATAAGCAAAATGGTTTGTGTCTGAATGTACAAAACCCAACCAGAGTTATATCCAATTTACCACCAACCACACCCTCATCCACTAATCAATGGTCCCGGAAACCTTGATGAACACAGGTTAACAAAATCTGTGAATAACCCTAGAGAAATCCTCCATTAATGCATCCTAGTCTGAAAGTTACGCTTTTGACAAAAAATTCTCTCCAGGTCAAGTGAGCAGGCTGCCAAGTTGGCCAGGTTATAAGACAGGCTGGGAAGCAACCAGTGAGCCTCCTTCAGATCGTAACACTAGATTAGTGTTGAGTGTGAATTCGCGCTATTGTCGGTTACTGAGGTTGTCCAAAACTTGGTTTGGTGGATTGAAATAGTTTCAAATGAATTCTGATCGGATTTGTTTCGTTAGTCTTCCACGTCAGAGTGCTTTGATTATTGATTCACCTCGGTTGCCACTAGCAGATTTTACTTGATAAGTCTGGATTGATGTGTGCTCCCAGAATTTGGTTTTAGCGAGTGCGTTTTGGTCAAGTGAAATTCAGACCTTAACTACTCTTCCTTCTGATGATCGCATACCAACTGGCGTCTGCTCGACGGACCCAAAACCGTACTCCACACACTTGCCAGTTCAACGCTTTTTATTGTGCTAACACTGATATACGTGTTGGGTTCTTCAGCCTTGGCTATCAGGCTCTGTGTCGTGGACCGCGTTCCCCACCTTAAAACCTCAAAATTTTCGAAGTATGTTTTGTGTCCGGTATCAAGTTTGATTTCTGCAATTGACAGGGCTTCCAGTAAAGCTTCATGTTAATCTGCGCTTCTCGGTGTCCCCTTTAGTTTTTCTACCGTACTCTCAGATTCTGATTTGTACTTCCCTGGCTGCCTGTCCTGGTGCAGTTCTTAAACTTAATTTCGTAGAGGAACTACTTCGGCCCGTTTGCCGGGTGGCAATCATTCAACTCCACTTTTGAAGAGCCCAGTACATTTCTCTCTGGAAAGCTACACTAATATTAGCCGTGTTAAGAATTCTTCGAATGGTGTCGGATGTCCCTAGCGTATACGGAATAACGGCGGTCCTGATCCCTACCCCGTTAGGTTTCTCTACCGGTACACACACCCCTCGCAATTAACAACTAACCAACCTAGCTAAATATTCAATGCCCCAAATTTTGTTCTTTACTTCAATTTTGATCGCTGTCCGATCAACATCTTCCGTGCACAGGGCCCTTACACCCTTGAATGTTAATGAGGGAATACTAGCAAATAGCGATTTCGGATGGTCAGACGAATAGCTTAAATCGGCCCCAGTGTAGGGTGGCATCTCATCCACGATGGTCTTTAGTTTTTTCCATCGTATAGGTCATGCAGCGCAAAAAGGCCAGTGCAACCCAACTTCATTACTCCATGCTCAATTGAATCAGTGGACGCAGTTCATTCAGACCGTTGTAAAACTCACTAGTCTCCTCTCATTTCATCATGATGAAAGTGTCATCTACATACGACCAGAATATCTTAGATTCTTAGGTAGGTATGAGAATCCCGCTGAAGATTTCTGTCCATATTTGTTCCCAAAATATAGTTACCCAAACCGTGAGTATTGGAGATTTCATTCCTAAACCTTGTTCTTGAGTATAAACCACTTAGCCAAAGACGAAAGCAGTGAGATTCCGACATGCTTTCTTACCATCCAATATTTCATCTACCGTAAGCTGTGTCCGTTCTGAAAGGATGGTGTCCACTCATAATTGTCACTTGGCTGTTGCTGCAGAGTCCTCTCTTGGAACATTTGAACAAAACCATTTCACTTCGAAACCAACAAAAATATCATCTAGTTCAATGGGGACACCCGCTACTTTGTTGGTGAAGTCATGTGAATTCCTGATGTTAGCACTACATTTTCCAGTGATGGGCTTTAAAACAACTCCCAGAAAGCCTATGCAGTAAAAAACCTATTCCGTCTACTATCTGTCGCACCGGAATTTTTGTTTTGTGAAAATTGGATGGCCACAAACCCGAAAAGAGGTTAACCGCTTCGTTTAGTCACTCACTGGTGGAAGTCTCGATGATGAGTGTCTGAATCGGCAGTGAATTTAAACAGTTCATGCTGAATGCAACAACCCAGCATTTAGCAAGAACAAACAGATTGCCATAGTAGGAGTAAGTCGTGTGTTCGGAGGTGGTTTCTAGTCAGCTCCAAGCGCAGTGCATTACGATTCAACTGGTTGGTGTAACGGAATGCCAATGACAGTAATTGCGATAACGGTCCACGGTCATTCTCTTTATCGAATGGAGGGATATTAGGCAACGTTTCAGACATCACAGTCACACGTGTAAAACCTAAGTTCCAATCGGAGTATAGCATTCGATAGGACTTGATTTGTGCGCTATGCGATTAACTGTGGTCCATCGATTGTCTAGGCAGTATTCGGCGAAATCCCGTTCACTGTGATCATTTTCAGGTTATCTTGTCGCAATCGGTCTATTATTTGTCATACTCAAAGTTGTTCCATTCAGGCTGTCCGATGGAATTTGGCTATAACATGATTGGTCAATAAATATATTGATAACTGTTTCCACTCAGTGAAGGTAAGCGTTGGATAAATGTAACGAGAAAAGCCCCAAAACTTCGGGTTGGGCGCAAATTGTATTCGGATTACCCTGATATGGTGTGTTAAAATTGCTTGAGCATTCGACACGAATATTAGGAAAAGATTCATGATCAGATGTTGAC